CTTTGGTGTTTTTTAAATACGCTTTTCATGTGCCCACCTCTTGGCCTTTGTGTTTGCTGTTCCCTTGCCTGGAACATTCTTCTCCCTCTTTTACACATGCCTCTGCCTGACCTCTTTCAGAGCTCTGTCCAAGAGTCACTTTATCATTGAGCTCTTCACTGACCCCCCCCACCGCCCCCATTTTAGAATACTACCACACCTACTCCTGCCAGTCCTTATTCCTGTTTGTTTTAGCACTTACCGCCTGACACACTTTGTATTTACTCATTTATTTTTTTACTGTCTTTCTCCATTCGTTAGAATATGATGTCTAGGAGGGCATGCATTTTTGTTTATTTTGTTCACTGCTGTTTCCCCAGCACCAAGAGCATTGCCTGATACTCAAAGGGTACTTGAAAACTATTAAATAGATGAATTAATGAATGCATGCAAAGGAGTCACTGAACAATTACCATATGCCAGCTGCTATGTGTTTAGTGAAGACATTTAGTGAAGGAGGAAGTAGGCAGACAATTACAATACTGTTGGTAAATTTTATGAAAGAAGTGCTGTCTTAGGGGTGCTTTGAAGAACAGAAGGGGACCAGGTCCACAGGTGGGGGCACTGAGCTTTGAATGAGGGAACGGGTAGAGGAGAGAGGAACCAAAGTGAAGTTGCAGGAGCAGACAGCAAGAGGTAGAGCAATGCCTAGACAAGAAAGCCTGGCTCATGTGGTGAACTACCATTATTACAAGAGCTCCAACTTTTTTCAAAAGCTATGGAAAGCCATTGAAGGATTTTCAGTAGAGGAAAGGTATAAACCCTTTAGCTTCTAGAAAGCTCACTCAGGTAGCAATGTGCAGAGAGGTGGAAGGAGACTAAAGGCAGAGTGGCCCGCAGGTGGATGCCTATCAGCTTGCTGGGAAAGAAGAGAGTTTGAACAAGGTTGTAGTGATGCAGGTGACGAAGAGAGCACGCTGGAGAGATTCTTAAGTAATTATCTGATAGACTTGGAGCAGGAGGGTAGAGGGTCACTCCCAGTCCATGAGTCACACACTTTTTGGTGAAGGCAATCATCAAATAGGAAGATCACATTTCTCTGACTTACTTGCTCACATAGTCCACATATTTTATGATATTTAAAAATGGAATCTAGCAGGGGCAAAGGTAAACAGGAAAGAAAATCAAGGGCGCTGTGTTGTTTGTAAGTTTTAACAACATTGCATGGCTCTCCATGGCCTCTTCCAAAAGATCACGAAAGCTTTAGTTTAAAAATTTGTCGGCAGATAGGTGATATTAGTACTCGGCACTTGGGATTTTTTAATGGCTCATTTGGTTTTTATCTTTTGAATACATTGCCTAATATCTCTACTGAAATAAGTGTATTTTAAGGTTTAAATTACAGTCTGACCCTTCTGTAGTTAAGCTTGAATAAATACAGTTTAATATGTTGAGATTCTATATGGTGAACAGTTTTTAATCTTGAGACATATGCACAGAAATTATTTTGAAAAATGAAGGACCAGATTATTCCCATTTAAATTGAGTCTCTATAAAGTATATGCAAACATAACGCTGCCCACCAAGAAAATACCTAAAAAGGAACAATTTATTGATTAATAACAGTGGTGAAAAATTGACTCTTATTTTGGAAAAATACTTAATCCAAACTTAAGTCACAGAGACAATAATAATGGAATTATTTTAGAAATCTTACAACACTAGGACAATTGTCTTTAATTTTGGGAATAATAAAAGAACTAATGTGACCAATGAGTAGTGAACTTACGACATTGTTCATCTGAGTCATTATTCGTAATGACTTTTGAGCAGGCTGAAAATATAAATTAATTTAAGAGGATTAGATAGGTTAATGAATGGCTATATGGCATTTGCTTGTTACTTTATTAATTTATATTTGCTCTAGAAGCCACAAAACTAGTCAAATGTAAATATCTTAATCAATTGGCCATAACATACTCTAACTTCAAAATCCATTTTTTAAGAAGATTTTATTTATTTATTTGATAGAGAGAGCACAAGCAGGGGGAGCAGGAGGTGGAGAAGCAGGTTCTCTGCTAAGCAGGAAGCCCAATGCTGGGCCCCATCCTGAGACCCTGGGATCATGACCTGACCCAAAGCCGGATGCTTAACTGACAGCCACCCAGAAACCCCTAAAGTCAATTTTTGAGCAGTGAAGCTTTCATTTGTAAACTTGAATTTAATGACCACAATGTCATGGGTGTATAATGGGTTTATTAATCAAAGGACACTCAAAGCACACATATAAGCAAGATCTTGATCAGCAAAGTAACTATTTGTGGTGTGTGTGTGTGTGTGTGTGTGTGTGTACTTAAAAGTATGTCTGTGCCTTTTATCCAACTCCAGTCAATTCCCACTCCACTGCTAGTAACAGATGACACTATCCTTGGCTTGCTACCATTTTTCCTGCCAGTGAGATCAAAGGACTGTATGCACATTTTTGGTAGCTGAGAATATATCCTTGGCAACATGGTTCTGAATAATCCACAAGACTTGTATTCACAATTCAAAATTAATGTTACATCTTTAAAACTACTTTTATTTTTAGAGTTTAGCAAAAATAGAAGTAGTTTCCTAACCATGAAGGAAAAATTTTGTATCTATTTTCTCTATAGCTCTCCTTTGATTTTCATGAAATATTGTGTTAAAATAGGCAATATAATTTTGTAGATTTCACAGTTATGGATAGTCTTCCTAAATCTTTACTTTAATGTGGTCATGCAACAGAGACCAAATTAGAAAATACAGAAATGTTAGTTGCTAGTTAAAACACTTGATTTCAAATTTGCTCTGATTTTTCAATGAAATATTCCCTTCCTGAGTTATCACATCAATGCAGTGAAAAACTCAATTTTACTGCACAATCTTTTTTCAAGTGGCAAGGTTAGGTTTAAATGGAAACAAACCTTTTCGAATTGCACATATCCATTCTCAGTCTAAACATTGAATTAATGTACTTTTTGTTATATGATTTCCTTCCTAACATCAACATTTTAAGAAGTGAAATGCCCTGGAGACGGTGGGGCAAATGGAATTATAGACCACGATAAAACCCAAGTCGTCTTCTACTTTCAGCTCCCCTATCGCTACAAGTTCCAAATTCTGCCTTTACTTAGCATTAGCATTCACTTCCCAAACTATTTACCTAAGAGAGAGATGATTAAACCTGTTTATGGGCTAAGGGGAAGGAACTAGTGGAAAGCAGGAGGCTCTGATACAGATGCAGGGATAATTGATGGAGAAAGATCCCCAAGGACAGAGGGAAGGATGGATTCCAAAGTCTACTGGATGTATCTGCCTGTGGAGGAGGGGGTGCCTATTCTCGCTCTGGCTAGGAAGGAGGTCCATGTGGGTTTGGATTGATGAGAGACATGGTGGTGAGGGAATTTACACCTGATAGCCTCTATTTTCTCTGCAAAATCTAACGCAGGGAGAATTTTAAATAGGAGGTGTGAAATGGGAAGGAAGGCTCTCGGACTACACAGATATGCCAGATACCCAGCTCATGAAGAAGCTAGCTGGTGGAGTAAATAAAAAAGGAACCCAGAAAAGTGATGTTGCACTGTGCACTTTCAATAACCTAAAACTGATTTTGTGAGGAAATTCTTAGTCTTCCTATGAGGATTACAAAATAATTTCTGAGGAACATATTCTCTGAATGGTCCTAAACGTGGTATATTTTTTTTAAAGATTTTTATGTATTTATTTGACAGACAGAGATCACAAGTAGGCAGAGAGGCAGGCAGAGAGAGAGAGGAGGAAGCAGGCTCCCCGCCGAGCAGAAAGCCCGATGCGGGGCTCGATCCCAGGACCCTGGGATCATGACCCGAGCCGAAAGCAGAAGCTTTAACCCACTGAGCCACCCAGGCGCCCCACGTGGTGTATTTTTAATAAAAAATTATGCATGACCAATTCTCCCTCCAATGTGCACTCTATGCTTTTTTTAATGTTACAGAATATGAATTAAGATGCTGATTAACTGAGATGTCACACATTGAAAATATGTTAGCTGTTCATTAGATGTAACAGAATACAGAACTAGTTAACCTGAAGTCATAAATTATCATTTACCATCACTTATAAAGTGTAACTTTGTTAAAATATACTAACATTAAAAGTATTTTTGAATTAGTAGGAAAATGCTCAATGTTTTATGTAAAAATAGACAAAAATAGTCAGAATTATAGCTGGATGTCTTTTTGCTCTTTTCCACCATCCCAAAGCTGCATTTAATTCTACATAAAGCCAATAGAATCCCAATGCTGACTTTGTGGTTGAAAAACAGCTAAATCTCAGAACTGCTATATTTTCATTTTATATTTATATTTAATATTCCCGTCCATCTTCCTGAATATTCTAACCCCTCCAATGTGCCCAGTGTCATAGGTTATCGACAACTGACAGCATCTTTTATTTCCTTTTCTGGTACACCCTAGTTGCCACAGTTGACTTTGGCATCCCCTAGTTTATAAACAGGTTTTTGTGCCAGTCAGTTGGCCACATTTCATAAGAGGAAGAATTGAACAAAATATGTTCCTTTGTCATGCTATTCAATGATTCCCTTTGCAATTCTGCTTACTGAAGTTTTGCAGATGCAGAAGTCACATAATGTGCTGCTTGCTGGGAACTGCCTTGCGTTTTCTCTGTTTCTAGCAGCAACAACTCCAGCTTTCTAAATGAGATGGAGGTGATGGATTTGCCCGTATTTGAAGAAACAGATGCACCGGAACAGCAAAGATTTTTTTTTGAAAGGAAAAAATCAGACTCTTACTACAGATGCTTGATGTTCTTCAAAAGGAAACAAGAGAGAAGACCTATTGTGTACTTCCAACCAATAATTTCCGTTTTCCTTGGCATACAAAACATCAGCATGTTTCTGCACAGCATAGAGAACCTTGCAGACTAGGACAGTTTTAATTGGTCGTTTAAGTTTCAACGGTTACATTATTATGTTAATTGAAGAATTTTTCTTTTTTTAGGGTCCTCTGGGGCCTCCAGGACAAAAGGTAGAGTATAAACAGTACTGGGGAAGTAATTATACTTGCATTGCCTAATGGCTAGCATGAGAGGTGAATAGAATTAGCTACTGTAAGCCATGCTGAAGCATCTTGATTGTTCATTCTCCTTTCTAAAAATACAATCATTTAATGTGAGCCATTAGATTTCTAATCAACTCCATTATAGGGAATCCAATAAATCCAGAGTAAACTCTTTTTAAGCTCTCTGCCAAACTTTATGTTACTGAATTTTTAGTGTTAAACATTGTGACAAAGCTCAGAATTTGAAGGTTCATAGGACATTGCAGATCGACTGCATGGTATTATGACCGAATGATCGTAGAACGGACCATAACAGAAGACGTACTTGTTGTTTGGTAACAGTATTCCATTGGTCCACAAATGTTTCCCTTTGCAAGGTAATCTGAAAAATGACTTCCTGATTGTCATTTTCCAGTCATCAGAATTCACCATTACATTCTGATGGAGGTGGTCTAGCACTTCTAAATTACATCAATATACAGTAGTAAATATATCAGTAGTAGGTAGATGGCCTTTTGCCAACAAAATATTGCTAAGTCCCCCTTCCCTATTATAACTCCCACCTCACAATAGGGGGAAAAGGATATTTAACCTAAAGAAAACAATTGCATTACAACAGGTGGAAAAGTGATTATTCTTTATCTTTGGAATCCATCAAAGATAGAGACTTTTTATCCCCCAAGTGCTGGGTATGTGGCATCTGTTGAAATATAATCCTACAAAACGAAGTCCAAAGCCAATGAGTTGTGAGACAACTTGTGTATAAGAACACTTTGTCCTTTGCAATAATGTCTCTATTAAGCATAGTGTGAAATTGTAAAGCTACCCTAATCCACATGCAACCAGGGTAAAATTACTGCCCGAGGCTTCAGGAAGTCATTTAATGACCCACTCAATATAATTACCTAAAGCACTAAGGAACTGGCCATCTCAATTTGTTTTGCATATAATGGCTGTATATTTTTATAGTGACTGTATTTTTAATAGACTTCCTCTTGTAGAGCAGCTTAAGGTTTGTATTTACTGTTTAAAAAAACTTTTTCCCATTATTATTAAAGAAATTTTATTTCATACATGAACTGAGAAAAAACTGTTTTCTAGGCTAGACAAAGAATAAACACATTTTATTTAAAAATGGTTTCTCCGGAGCCTGAAAGGGGAAATGACATCACTATTTGAAAATATTTGTTAATGTTTCTATATTCAGGTAAATGTCATAGATTTTCTAAGGTGATTATTAGCTTTCTTATTCTCAGTTCACCCAACCTACGTCCAACCATTCATAATCACCCCAGTGTGCGTGTGCCCATGTGTACACACACACACACAAACACTTAACTTAATATTTGATGTGCTGTTTTTTATTCCTAGTCAGTATTTAACAGTTGTAACACCTTTTCTAGTCGTTGGAAGACATATTCACACTCTTCTGGCTTAAATGTACTCCCTGAAAGTCCAGGCGAAAATGCTCCAAATACAGCAAATTTGAGTTTATAGCCTGAGTGCTTTTTTTGACTAATTGTGAAACAAGTGGTTGTTACTTTAATTACCTTTTGTTTTATGGCATTTAAACTCTTGAAATGCAAGAGTTACTGCTACTGCTAGGCTTTCCCAGATGGAACTAAGCCTGTTTATTTCTTAAAAGCACCAAAATGTAGAGCCATGTGGTCTTCGGAGAGCTGTGGATCCCAATTTATGATGTAAATTTCTTTAAAATCATATTAGGTTTAAGTGGATATTTAAAAACATGGTTAAATTCAACTCCATGGTTTCTGGGAATGCTTGATGAATCTGCTTACATTATTACATATCTGAATTCCATGGATATATATCTGAAACCTTAACCTTTCGCACATGTTTTAGCAAGGTAAGGTTATGGCTCACATAATTAATACAATACAAATATAAAATTGAAATATTTTGTGATTTCATCTGCTTAATTTAATCCTGTGTCTTCTTAGGGTTCTGTGGGAGAACCTGGAATTCCAGGGGTGAATGGTCAAAAGGTAAGTTCTATAGACTATTTCTGATCATTTAAAGGGTTAAAATCACAAAATCATTCTAGTCAGTAATGTTAGTAAAAAGTTTATATACTTATAAAAACACTACATATACTTTTGAAATGTAGGGAAATTATGGTGCAAAAGATCCAATTATTTTAATTTTTAATGATGCATAAAATAGAAACTCTTAGAAAATTTTCCATTTTCTTTTGATAAGCTTTATAGGAATACAACTATATCTTTCTTATACATAGAATAGGAAAAATGTTGTGTTTAACACTAATTGTGATAAACAAAATACACTCCAGTTTATTCTTGGCATGGCAAAAGTAACATGTGTTACTTCTCTCATTAACAAAAGTTATTCTTACAGAGGGAACCTATTGGAATATTCTGAACCTAGGAGCAAGCTCTTTTTACTGTTAAGAAAAATCAGGATTTAAATAGACTTGCCAAGCTCTGGTGGTACACTTTTATTGTACTGTTAATAATGAAGGGGGAATAAAATAAGAACCCACCACAACTCTACACAGACATATCTATGTGTGTGGTTACATCTACTCCTGCAACATATTTACTGGTTGGACAAAGCATCTTGCGTCTTCCCACAGGTACGGCTGCTCTTCTATGCTCCCCAACAGTGCTGACTGGCTTTTCAATCTGGAACCTCACAGGGACCAGGAAAGCCATAGGGGCAGCTAACAAAGTCCGTCTACAAGGAGCCAGGGACTGGCTGAGCTAGGGACTTCATGTGTCTCCCACAGGGTTTTTGGACTAGCCGTATAAAAGCCTGTGACCCATCAGCTTGCGTTCAACAGAAAATTTTAAATCTGTGCACTCTGGATAAAATTCTGAAATCATAAAGAGCCCAATATTGACATACAGAGTAGACCTGCTAGGAACATTTCCATCCTGTCCATCTTTTCTTCTCCGATAAGATGATAATTAACAATCACATTTAAAACCTACAGAGGGGCTAGCAAAAAGCATGAGTCTGCCACGTACAGGCCACATGAATTTTGGCAAAGTCCTTGAACTCTCTGGCCTTAGTCTCTTCGTTTGTAAATGGAAGGGAGTAACAGTTTCCACCTATTAGGGTCGATGTGAGGATTAAATGCCTTTATGACAGGGGGGATCTTACAATGAAACTATCCTTTCGTTTTGTTTTGGTGAAATTCTGGAAATGTGATTGATCTGTATCTTAAACAAGGCTCTGTGCTTCCACAGTTATTCAATTCCCAGTGAAACTGATGTCCTCAACCAAGGCTTATGGTATCCGTTAGTCCACAAACCAATACTCCTCAGGAGTGAACTGCCCAAGTCACCGCTCAGTTTACCACTTAATAAAATGCGTATCTGTTTGCTTCACAAGTCCTGGTAAAGGTCAAAGCTTAACTTTCTATTAGAGCATTGTAGATCCTGGAGGGACACATAAAAATTTGGAATTATACTCATTCTAAGATTGATTTTGAAGTTATGTAAGTCAAGATAATATTTTTGAAAGGACAGATATGAATATAAGAGAAATGTTTTTAACATTGGTGAAGAACAAAGCTTATACCCTTAAGGTTAATGTTTTGCTTTTTCTTCTTTGCTTCTTTTCTGTTTTCAGCTTTGGGACAATCATGAAAATTTATAGAAACCTTTAACCTGAAACAAAACAACCTTAAAGCTGTCACATACATGTTTATGAAGACTACATATTCTTTATTTTTGCAAAGGAAATATGCAATTTCCTTAGCAAGAGAAAGGAATGTGACATTTTCTTGTCCTAGTCACCAAGGTTAAATTATATTTCAAGGAAATAGTTAATATTTGCAGTTTTATGTCTTGTTATACATCTTTGTGGCATTTTAAAGTGTTTTCTATAAGACCTAGGGAAGCTAAATAATTTCACACTTTTATGAAGGCATTAGCAAAACGTAGTTTATGATTGATTTTCCTACTCCATAAAATTTAACCTAAAACTTTGTGGATGAAATTTCTGTTAACACTAGTCATTGTCTAACATTTGTAATATCTGCTATATTATCTTTAGGAAAATAAAGTGCAAAACCATGAGTCCTTCACTGAAACAGCAAGTCATTTAGACAGTAAAAACAAAGCTGGAAAAAGAGTAATAATTCTGTAATTAAGCATATGAAATATGTTTTGGATGTCTACAATTTGCTTTTCTAAGACAAGAGCTTACAGTGACATAATTGTTTTAAAGCACCTAAATGTCCTCAAACTGTCTTAAGAAAACTTTTTTCCCACATTACAATTTCACTTTTTCAAAGAAGTATTTTTGTGGCTTAGAAAATATTTTTCAGATAATGGTTAAGGAAAAATATGATTTTCTAGCCATCAGAAACACAACAGAATAACAACTAGAAAATAGAAAGATTTTTCTCCTTTAAAAAATGAAAGAAAAATATTTTTAAAAATGTATTTTATTTGTTTTCCATCCATTCAGATTGACAAAACTGGTGACTGGCTTTGGCCAATAAACTTGGTAGTGACTTTTTTTTCCCCCCACTATTTTCCTTCAAATGTGGGTCACCTTGACTGCTAATCTGAATATTTATTATTCTGTAATGGTCTTCCAGTTCTTCCGATTGGATTAGGAGAGGACTTACATAAGCAGTACCATGGCAGTGAACCCCAATCTAGCTCTTTCTGGCACCACAGTCTACAAAGGGCTCCTGAGCCTCTTCTGTGAAATGTGGAAGGCAGTGTGGTATGGAGGGGAAATGTGTGGACTCTAGAGTCAGAGACAGAATGAATGGGTCAGATCCCAGTTCTCATTTGGGCAAGTTAAATGTTTCTAAGGCTCAGGTGTAAAATAGAAATACAGACCTTGCACTATTAACCAGATAATGTCTCTAAAGTGAAGGCAATGTTACAGATGCTCAATACATGTTACTATCTGCGGGAATAGTATCACACTGCAGAAGTTTCAGCAAATGAGCCCCAGGTTTACCCTTAGCAGGGAGGAGAAGCCAGTTGAATCATGATAGGAAGAACACGAAAATGCAAAATGACACAGGAAGGTAAAACGTTTCTCTGTCCCTTGGCTCTTTCCCCACTCACCCACCCTAGAGCGCTGCCCTGGGGTCAGGATGCTCAGTTTCCTTCCATCTCATGGGCAGCCTTTGGAAGACCCTTTTCACATTTGCTTTGTGAAATGAGACCAGGGGATGCACTTATTTATTTCTAAGTCTCTAAGAGATAGAGTCAGCTGTGTCTCATTTTCGAGTCAACCGGCTTCTAGCATTATCAGTTCCCATTTCTGAAAGCTGTTGTTTCCATAATTTCCAATTTGTTGTCAGCAGCCAAAGCAATTAAGGTGGATTTCATACTAAGTCTTACCTATAAGTATGAAAAGTTGTCCTCTTCTTCCCTAGTTAATCGTATTGGACACAAACTTTTGTAATTCTCAGCAATAGATCTTGTTAGTTTAAAGGTGTAATTAGCATTTTGTTTGTGTCCCATTATTCATGATCCCTCTCTGTCTGTCTTTCTCTCTCACACACCCACATGCATACATGAAGAGATACATACATATTATACATACATACATATATGTGTATATCTAAATATTTGACCATTAAACCCTACATCTCAGATATACTGGAGAAGTGGGAGCTTTTAAAAGTAACTTTGTGGTAGAACCATCTTTTAAACCATCTTTTAAACTTTTTTCCTTTGACAAAATTAATTGCTGTCTATGATTTTTGATACCCGGGTAATGGGTATTAAAGGGGGCATGTGTTGTGATGAGCACTGGGTGTTGTACACAACTAATGAATCTTTGAACACTACATCAAAAACTAATGATATACTATATGCTGGCTAACTGAATATAACAAAAAAAAATTTTGTTTATATGTGTGTATCAGAACTTCCAAAATCTCAGCTTTTATTAGTGATATTAGAACCCCACATTTTTCTTCTCTCTCCACATTTTCACATTAATTAGCACCCATAAAAATGAATCATCATAATGACAGTTTACTTGAATAAGAGCATTGAGCAAATAGTACTGAAGAAGAGATCTGGGGACAGAGACAGGGTACATTAAAAGTCTAACTGGTGGGGCGCCTGGGTGGCTCAGTGGGTTAAGCCTCTGCCTTCAGCTCAGGTCATGATCCCAGGGTCCTGGGATCGAGCCCCGCATCAGGCTCCAGAGAGCCTGCTTCCCCTTCTCTCTCTGCCTGCCTCTCTTCCTACTTGTGATCTTTCTCTCTGTCAAATAAGTAAATAAAATCTTTAAAAAAAAAAAAAAAGTCTAACTGGTGCACTTAACACCCTTGTCTGTTTGTTACCATGAAAATTATAATAAATATTTTCAGGATTAAGAACCAATTATTTTGTCTCAGCAAGCTAGAGTATTTCTGAGGCTCCAGAGTCATAGGGATTGTTTCCAAAGCAAAAGACAAATATCAGAAGATCTTATTCATGGATTTTTCAAGTATTTTCTGTAATTTATTATTTTTGAACTTCAATATATAATATAAATAAAAAATGATGCTAGCGTTATCATCTACTAATAAAAAATGATGTTAGTGTGTCATCTACAGTCTATCCCAGATAGCTATGTGATTTTTAAGGAACATTAAATTTTAATTAGTTTATAGTTATGGTATTTAGAATTCCTTTTCATCTCCTATCTGTGGATCTCATGGTCTACACTGACATTAATCCTCACAGCATACTTCTAATGGCATTTTTATTGTAAGTGTATTTAGAGAACAGATAAATTGAAGGTCTCAGACTTCCAAAGGTCAAGCTGTTTATTCAAGTCTGTTCAGTGCACCATTCGATGAACTCAATATTTTTTATTCTTGATTCACTTACTGTAACAACTAAATACCCTCTTTTCTTTGGCTTCCTTGGCTCTGAATCAAATTCCTGAAGGATTTGAATATGGTATAGCTCTGTTTGTTTTCTGGTTGGTTAGCTTAGAAGTTTCCTATAGCAGAATTTATTCAGTGGTCCTTTTATCCAATATAGTTGTGACT